ACTTCGACCCCAATCGATGTGAGCGCGCTGGCCGTGATCGTATAGTGGTTAGTACTTCGCGTTGTGGCCGCGACAACCCAGGTTCGAATCCTGGTCGCTCAAGATTTTTAGTCCGTGTATTTATAAACACTTTTTTAAAAACCACGTTTTTCATGTGTAGCAACGGACTAAAAAGGAGAACGGACACGGTAACACATTGTTAACGGTGACACGGTTGGTACGCTGGGCATGCTAAAATACACATAAACACGTTTTTCCTTAACTCAGCTTCGCGTTTATTTGTTTGTTTATGGGAGATTTGATCACGTGATTCGTGAGTAGATCTTTACGCCAGCAACGTAAATTACACCCTTTCTCTGTTTAAAGCGTATCGGTCGCTCAAGATTTTTTTAGTCCGTGTATTTAAAAACACTTAGTCAAGTCATACTTAATCAAGTGATTAGATAAAGTAGAAAATAAACTATATAAAAAACTTTTTAAAAACCACGTTTTTCATGTGTAGCAACGGACTAAAAAGGAGAAAATAAAATACTTAAAAAAAACTTTTTAAAAAACCACGTTTTTCTTGTGGACTAAAAAGTAGAAAATAACTATTTACATACATTTGATGACAAAAAACGTGGGTCGGGCAGATGGGTCGGGAAATTTGATGGTGAACGTACCCACGTTTTTTGTCATCAAATGTATGTAAATAGTTATTTTCTACTTTTTAGTCCACAAGAAAAACGTGGTTTTTTAAAAAGTTTTTTTTAAGTATTTTATTTCTTTCTTAGTTTAAAAAATGTTCCAGCACGGACGTTCGCTGTTTTGAATCATAGACAGATAAGGTTTATGGTTTTACTAAAAACGATTTAAGCTCAATTTATTCAATGTGTTTATTTATTCAATAACGGTAACATTAGTAGGCACGGAGGTCTTTTTTTCATATTGGCCGTTTTACAATAAACAAACAAAACAACAACATCATTTAAAAAAGCAATTGTGTAGTAAAGACGTTTAAATTGTTTTGATAATTATACTTGTAGGGGATAGAGGCGACCGCACCGCAAGTTTTTTTTTGTCAGGGGACAAAAAGTTTCCAAACCGCTGGTGTCAGACTATAACTTTCGCCACTTAAAAACTCACGCACAGTACATGACTCGAACTTCGAACTTTCCCAATTGACAGCCAGTGGGGAATTAATGGGTACTATTAACATCCCACTGAACCAGAGTTTCTTTCAGGCATATCTTGTGGGTGAAGAGGGATGTGGGGGGGGGGGAAGCAGCTTCACCGTCTACGAAAAAAATATATAATGTTTTTCGAAAATATATTCTTCAACCAATGCACCCTCCCCGGATAACCGAAGTACGCCCCCCACCCGAAAGTTTCATATGCCACCCCCCCCCCCCCCCCCACCCTTCATGGAAAAAAAATTATGAAAGAAACCCTGTACTGAAGTGCGCTAAACCAGGCATCCGATTTTAATTCAGCTGTTGAAATCCCTAGTGTCGATGCATGTAGACAGAGATTATACATCACCCACTCCGTCCCACCTTGATTTCCTTTCATCCTTGAAATCTAAATCCATTAACCAGACAATCGTTTTACATCAGACAAGTATATACGTTGTGCTTTCTTTCTTCAGACACGTGGCGCCGTATTTACAAACACAAAAATGTAAACAAAAGGGAGATTACTGACATTTTTTTTAAATATAAAAAAATCTTTCTTTGAAGGAGTTACGCGTTAAGTGGCGCTTTAAGGAATCAAAGCTTTGAAGCAGACTAAAAGCGGCATTTCGATCTTTGAACATGCATTGTCTATTTTTAGACATTAGCTCCTCCACCCTTTTCAACAGTTAGTTGTACCGATTTAGTTTTACCGATTTAGTTGTACCGATTTGGTAGTACCGATTTAGTTGTACCGATTTAGTTGTACCGATTTAATAGTATCGTTTTAGATGTACCGATTTAGTTGTACCGATTTAGTTGTTCCGATTTAGTTGTATAGTTGTACCGATTTTAAGTTGTTTCTGTTGTCCGATATTTCGAATAATTGTTTTTTTTTCTCATTTAAGTGTCTTCAACAACCAAGAGGTTTATCAGCTTGGTCTGATCAATATTGTGAAAAGTATCGAGTGTGCAAGTATCGAGTGTGCAAATATCGAGTGTGCAAGTATTGACTGTAGCAAGTATCGAGTATAAAAAGCATCGAGCGTAGCACGAATTGAGTGTGAGAAGTATCGAGTGTAGTATGTATCGAATATAAAAAAAAGAAATCAATGAAATTGATTTATATATTGATGATGATGATAATGATGATGGTGGAGGTGAGGATTATGATGGTAAATGTGAATGCCAAAAATTTAGCCAAATTGTTTACAAGAACTTCGTTTCGCAAGCAATCTAAATAAAAGCTGATGATGATAAGGATGATGATGATTATTTGATGATGATGTTATTAATGTATATGTTTATGATGTTGATGATAATTGTAAATGGCAAAAATTTAGCAAAACTATTCACGACAAGAATAATATAACGACATTCCGCTCAACCCTCCCTCTCCCTCCCTACCCCAACAGCCAGGAAGTTACCTACGTTCTGGATTTGGTGGATTAAAGGATTAAAACTGCCTTCAATGAAGAGAACTTCTTTAACTCAAACTTCAAAGATTCAACCTCTAGTGTGTTATGCTGGAACGTGTTAATTAACTAACTTCTTTTTAAGTCATCGTCTTTCTTATTCATCTTTTTAGTTAAGGGATGGGGGGAATTAGGGAAGAAAGGAGAAGGTTGTGGGGAATTGGAATGTAGGGGAGGGAACATTGTTTTAGGATTTTGGGTTCGGAAATGCTATGTGAAAGACAATCAGCAATATTCCCTGCGGAAAGGTCACAAAAGGGTTCAACGAGAAGCAGCGAGAAGCAGCGAGAACTAAGGAGAAGCAGCGAGAGACTTCCCTAATGTTGCCAGAAAGTCTTGAGCGTTCACGTCATAAACAATAAGGGGAGATAACCTTTTTGCTCTTGTACAGAATCGTAGTCTTACTGGATAGGTAGAGACACCTCCAACACAATCGGAAAACCGCACATCAAACACGCAGAAAATTATAGATGTGTTTACCTTTGAATATTGAAATAATAATCCAATAAAGTAATTTAATTCATAAAATTGTGACCCTTCCAGACGACGAAATTCAATTAACGTTGCTGGCAAATCACCTCTTAACTCACTGTATATATATATACATATATATATATATATATATATATATATATATATATATATATATATATATATATATATATATACATATATATATATATATATATAATTATGAATGTATGAATACTTTTGGGTATATATGTATATATATATATATATATATATATATATATATATATATATATATATATATATATATATATATATATATATATATATATATATATATATGTATATATATATATGTGTGTGTGTGTGTGTGTAAAATTAAAACTATGCATACACATCTACGAATACAAATGTATTTGCATATAATATATAATTAATTAATATGTGTGTAAAACCATTATTTCACACATATTTGTATATAATATGATTATACGTTAATTCATATGTGTGTAAAACCATTATTACATACATATTTGTATATAATACGAATCCCCATATAATTATAAACATAATATATAGTTTGCTATAACTGTAAGTGTATTCATAAGAGTGTGTGTATTTGTATGTAAGCCTATGTGTATGTTAAAATTAAAGAATGTCACATATTCTGCCTATCATGAAGGAAAAGATAACCGTGATACAACATGCAGGTTAATTACGTCCATTGGCTCATTCCCTACAGCAGAGAAAAAAACAATTTGCGTCCAATGATGTAACGGATCTATTCTGCATAGCGGGCGTGCACACATTATATAGCTATATCATTGTGTTCTACGGTGATTACATAAATTGTAACTTTATTCTTTCCTTCAACATAAAACAGTTACATAATATAAGGTATGTTTTCCGTTCTAAATTGTAGTCGGGGTTTCAAAAATTTTTCCTGCTTTTACGTTGGACAACGCGTGCTGGGTCGAGTAAAATGTGTTGAGTCTACTTTTTACAAATACAATTCCAATCTGTGTACAAAACTTATGTTAAAATACTTTGAGGTGTCGTGTGATAGTTGTAATAAACCAGTCAAATATATATATATATATATATATATATATATATATATATATATATATATATATATATATATATATATATATATATATATTTTTATTTATTTATTTATTTATAAATATATATATATATATATATATATATATATATATATATATATATATATATATATATATATATATATTTATATATATATATATATATATATATATATATATATATATATATATATATATATATATATATATACATACATACTACAGTATAATTTAAAAACAAATGAATGACTACTTCGGATATTTGTGTAGATATCGGTGTTCTATATACTGCCTCGCTGGATTTGAACAGTAGATTTTATGGTTTAGGATTAGGGTTACACTAAAATATTGTTGGTAGCAATATGACTCGTAGCTTGTTGATACGTTTTATACGGCGAAAATAAAAAACAAATGGACCGTAAACATATAAAGAACAGAAGATAAACCCCAGTTGTCACAGGTGTCTACTTTTGAGAAAATTAGATTTTGTGTTTGACATCCTTTGCTGTTCCGCTGTCGCATTATTTTAAAATCTTAAATATTGAGGGGATCGAGGTGTGGTTTTAGCTTTCATATTGTTATACGCGATAGATATACACTAGTACTATATGAATATGACAATAACTCAAAATTAAAAAAAAAATTGACATCTGGGGTTTAGCCCGTGTGGTCTTCATATAATTTTAAAATGTAAATATTTATTTAAATATTTTAAAAAAAAAATTAAACTAATGAAACACACAAGCCCTGGCATTAATTATCACCTGAGACCAGCCTCCCCCACACCTGCGACCTACCTTGTCTGAATCACATCCAAAAATTCCACCTGGCTTCAGCCACCTCACCGCGAACCTCTGCTGGAAGGTGAGTCTCAGTTTGTGCAGGCTGCGATACTCGGCCAGTTTTGAGCAACAGTCACCCTCCTCCGAAATATCGCTTTTTTTTATTTATTCCTTCTCCTATTTATTAACACTTCCTTAAAACGTTATGACCAAATGGTTTATAGTGCCGGAAAGAGTGAGTATCCACCGTACATTCACCACTGCTAACACATGCTGAAATTGTTTTCTCATTCATGGAATTTTTTTTTTCGTTCAGTGAGCTACTGAGTCCACAGCGAAGGGGAGAGAATTTAGCCTCGCGTAGGGGTGCGAGTTATCCCCCTTGCGGCTATTTTTATACGCGGAAGGAACACATTCGCACGCGCACTTGTCTTGTAGTCAGACCTGTTTACTCCCTCGCTACCTGCTCACACAATTCACGTGCCGAGCAGACCTCTCTTCGCAGTTGTTTGGTTGGTGTAAAGGCGGATCTTCGTGCAAAATGGAAGAGGGGTGCAACGAGATAGAATTTATTTTAAACTTTTGAGTCCACAAATTCATATCGTCTATTTTTTATGACATTTTAGTTGAAATAGATGTTAGCGCTGTTTCTCACAGGTGTCTCTTTGGGGGAGGGTTTGTTTCTCCAGACGGGACGTTTTGAACTTTGGGGCATGCAGACTTAAATTTCCGTCGGGGTGGGGGAAGCAGTCCCTCCCACCTTCCAAAGAGATTCGTGAAACTCTTTTTCTGATACCTAGCCTTGACTAATGTTTGCCTAAACATCACAAACCCCCTTATATTTAAATAAGGTTATATTAAACTTTTATAAAGTATACCCAGACCATTCCCCGAACGAATAAGAATGTATATACAAAATATATTTTAACCAGTATCTGTTCTTCCTTCCCTGAAATTCCCCCCCCCCCCCAGGAAATTTCAAGTGCCCATTCTCCCACCCCCGGAAAAAAAATGAAACACTGGTCCCCCCTCCGTAGCAAAATGTCTGAAATAAACCCTGGGCGATTCGGAGCCACAGATTACCAAACCCACCATAATATCCTTACCGCCTACGCCGCTGTTGTTTTCGTTTAAATTTAGCCCCCAGCTCTACCTGTGAGTGAGTGAAGGTAGGTAAAGAAAAACTTGGACGCCCTCCCGTTACCTAGCCAGCAACCAGCGACTTGCCACAACGCCGATTCTCAAGAATTCCTCTATCTCGGGGGTTCTATGAATAACTCAATCAGGATTGGTCGGTTTATTCCTGTTGATGTTCTAAATATAGATCAGTTCAAAGGTTGTTCAAAGTCCGGGGAAATCTCAAGATGATCCATAGTTTTCGGTGGTTATATTTTAAATGTCTAGGTGTAGTTCTGCATAGTTAGAATAAAAACCCTACAACTAGTTCGATTTATCTGGAACATTTTATTTGAAGAACTTGAACAAGTCTCACTGTACAAAGACAATCTATCTGCGTCCATTGATACTTAGAACACGCCTGAGCAGAGTTTCTTCCAGGCATCTTTTCGGGGGGGGGGGGGGGGAGGAGGGGGGGGGTCCGAAGAAAGTCTACCGCGCCCCCGCCCTCCGAACGAAATTAAATTTATATAGAAAATATATACTTTTAACAGTGTCCGCCACCCCCCCCCCCCCCCCCCGAAAATGTCAAGTGCTCCCCCCACCCGAAAATTTAAAGTGCCCCCCGCCGGAGAAAAAAGTCTGGAAGAAACACTGCGCCTGAGGCAGAGGCGTAGCGACCCTTCCCGGCGCCCGGGGACAAACTTTTCGATTTGCACCCCCCCCCCCTCGAGATTTTGATTTGCACCCCCCCCCCTCAAACTTTCGATTTGCACCCCCCCCCCCTCGAGATTTTGATTTGCACCCCCCTCAAACTTTCGATTTATTTTTCCAACCAATTTTGACGCCCCCTAAGCTCGACGCCCGGGGACATATGTCCCCCCCCCCCCTCGCTACGCTACTGGCCTGAGGCCGTCCATACATAACGTCACACTAGTAGGGGGAGGGAGGGGCGTTATTTGATGACGGTGTGTGATGAGGGTGAGGAGGTCAGATAGTGTGTAGTCCGAGTGTGACATCATAAAAAATCAAGTTAGAAAACAAATTTCTGCCGATATTTCGCGTTTAAAAAAAATGATATAGAAATGAATTAAAACACGCAAAAAAGCGTGATGTCATTTATGAATGCTTTGTTTTTGGAACATTTTTACCTCCCCCCCACTCCGCATTGTCACACATCGTCACACCCCCCCCCCCCCCTTCTGAAAATAGTGCAGCACGTAACCCTACTACTCTCGTTAAAATTGTAATTTGTGTTTTTTTAACAGCGATTTCTTTCTTCACTTCCTCCTTAGCTTGACCAAGATTCAGAGTTTCTTCCAGGCATCTCTTTGGGGGGGGGGGGGGGGGGGGGGTTGAATGGTAGAGCTTATGAATATGATTGCTAAGTCTCGAGATCGGATTCCGCGCTTGAGTATATCGGACGATCCAGTCCTACAAGCCATGATGGGTACCTGCAGAGTTTCTTCCAGGCATCTCTTCGCCCCCCCCCCCCGAACGTGATGGATTTTATATAGCAAACATACCGCCCCCCCCCCCCCCCGAAAATTTCAAAAGCCCCCCCCCCCCCGGAGAAAAAAGTCTGGAAGAAACACTGGGTACCTGACTCACGTTAAGGTATTAATCTTAGGCTGCTGAGCATAGTGCTGACCGCACACTCTTCTTGTATGCCGAGGTAATTGGAACAGATAAACTCTACCTCTGCCCACATGTGTCTTGGAGACGAACTGGAGGAGTTGATGATTTGTCAGTCTTGGTAGGGGTCGGCGTGGTCGAGTCGGTAAAGCTCATGATTGCTAAACCGAAAACTCTTGTGTTCGAGCTAAAATTAAGAACGAAGAAGAAGAAGAAAGAAGTTAGCCGTGGTGACACAAAACATAAAACAACAGTCATAAAACACACAAATAAAAGTTTTCACCAGGTCCACTAAAACTAATTCAGGTTTAAATAGACAACTCAGGAAAAAAATAGGTCGAATAAGGTTTCGGGTCTTCCATAAATAAAGCCGAAGTATACATTAAGTCCCCGTTCTCCCCCCCCCCCCCCCCCCTCATCAACTTTGCCATCCTACAAACAAACAAAAAAATATAAATATCTAAAGTCTTGTATTCATATTTTTGTTCACCGAGAACGCTGGCGATATCAATGAAAGCAAACAATAGATTTCGTGTTAATTTTGTCTAATAAAAAAAAATTAAAAATATATTGTCTAATCGGTGAAGTAACGACGGATTTCGTTTCCCTCTTTCAAACTTTCATTTATTTCACTTGGGGGTCATCCATAAATGACGTCACACTTTTTTTGACGATTTTTACCTCCCCCTCCCCTCCGTCACACGCCGTCACAAAAAGCCAGACACCCCCCCCCTAAAATGACGTCACACCTCAGCCTACAACCACCCTCAAAATTGCAGTTGAATTTTTTTTAAAACATTGATATTTTTTTAAACTCTTGTCTGAAATCCGTCAAAATAGCGTATTTTAATCAATTCCTATTACAATTTATTAAAACAGTTTTAAAAAACGCGAAATAACGTCTAAAATACCTTTTCTAAAATTTCTTTTTTATAATGAAAAAAGTGTGACGTCTCACTATCTGAACCCCCTCCCTCCCCCTCATCACACATCGTCACAAAATTACCGACCCCCCTCCGAGTGTGACGTCATTTATGGACGACCCCTTGCAGATTATTTACCACAATGTACAGGTAGGGTTGCCAGGTGTCCAGTTTTGAACTGGACAGTCCAGTATTTGAGCAGACTGTCCAGGATAAAATAAATATAAATACTGGACAACTATATGAATAATACTCGGTTACCCCCCCCCCCCCCCCTTCTTCTGCTTTGCGGCATACTGAGAAGGGAAGGATGGAAAGGTGTCCAGTATTTTCGGAAAAGGTATCTGGCAACCCTATGTACAGGTTATTTTTCGAAAATGGCGATCTCACCCCCCCCCCCCCCCCTCGAAAAGATGCCTGGAAGAAACGTTGGGATAAAAGATTCAGCTACTACAATAACCGGCCACTTAGCCTACTACAATGTTTCTGATGACGTAATAGTGGAGGGCGCCACGGTAAATGTCACGCTATGATGCCCCCCCCCCCCACCTAATCTTAACGGTCCCTGGATATAGGCCTGGCCGTAGGCCTAAATGTTCTTCATCATTTCTATTGTAAAGAATTACAAAATGTAAGCAACGTCACATTTTATAACCTGTCTCCTCCAAGAAGCGCGTGGGTCACAATATCCCCCTTCAATGATAACGATGTTAGAATATTTTTGGTAATAACACACTTAAATATTGTGAGATGTAGATAGGCCTATAGATACACATCGTATCACAAATTATTTCTGATTAACATTTCTGTTATGAATCTATAGAAACATGATTGTTATAAATCTTGAACTCGCGTCCCATTCAATTTCATCCCCCCCCCCCTCCCCAAAAAAAATAATTGTCTAACGAACATCATCACCCATTCCCCTCCCTATTACTTCAACAACAGCACATCGTCTAGCACGTCCGTGTCAGAGCTAGCCTAGGACCTAGGTCCCTGCCTACACCTAATGCCAAACGGGACAGCCAATCAAATCATATGTTGTTTTAAACCTCAAAACAAAAAACGTTTTTTCAAGCTGGTCACGTGATCCATCTTTTTCGAACGAGAAAGAAAAAAGTTTTCTGGCACACGTCCTGCCGAATCCAAAAATGTCATCGAAACTGCTGAAAGACTTCGACGCTCTGCTGTCCGAGGTTGGATTATTTAGGAAAGTCATAACAAACGAGAACAGCCTGTTCCGTGCTGTTTCCGAAGCGGTGAGTTATGTTTGCTGTTCGTGTAAATTTGGTTGACCGATGTTCATTCTTGTGTCCATGCGGCGATCAGATTTGAATGAAATAACTCACCATCATTCAATGACCTGCCTGCATGCTCGTGGACGTGATTTGCGTGTCAGTTGTAGTTAGCTGTGTCGTCACCTGCCCAGGGCGCCAACGGTCTTTCGCCCAGCCCTTGTGTGACGCCCGGTCGATGTGATGAAGGTCTTATGATGTACGGTCAAAACTGAAATGAATTAATTGCCTTGACTTAAACTTAAATCTAATTTTAGTCGATAGATCTAGACATCTAGATCTAGATCTAGATCTAGAACCTAGTTGAAGTGGCGCCATTTTATAAAATATTTTTTTAGGATATCTTTATTATCTAGTGAAACTAACTAAGCTAATTGTAGTAATTAGGAATTAGGCCTATACAAACGAATTCACGCCATGGCTTCAACCCACCTATTTAGACTGGATTAAAAAATTAATTATTTTTTAAAAAATATTAAATGATTGTTCTTAGGTTGAAAACTTCCCTATAATGTGGATATAAAACTAAAAGTCCATAACATTGATTAATAATGATTAATGATTAATACAAATATTATTATAATTATTGATGAAAAGATAAATTAACATATCCTACTACTATATAACTACATAGACTATTTGGTAGGCTACATTTATTATATTAATAATAGGATGTGCATTCTACATAATAATAGGCCTCAATTATAATGCATAATCATAATATTATATAGATATCTAGACATAGATTAAGTAACTTGCTATGAGCCCTACATTAAGTAGCATATTAAATAGGCCTAGACAAACCTAGAATCTTCTAAACATAATTTTAGTACTGCCTATGTCAGTTTAATATATTTCAAAATAACCTAAACAATTAAACAAAGTAGAAAACCTGCAGTAACTAAGTATTTAATTTTCTATTTTGTTTGATTTAACATTACTCTCCAATAAAAAAAAATCAACTGGATTCAAGCTATCATATTATCATGATTTGTTACTGGATTGTCATTTAATAGTTAATAACATTTATGATCTAAGGCAGCAACTAATTGATTTGACTTTTGTATTGCCTTCACTTTCACCTGAAATTTAAAGATGTTGAATTCAAATATAAATTAAAACAGATCACACACAGAAATAAATTGATGATTATATTAACATTCAGGAAAGAAATCATTCACTACAAACTTTAAAGTAAAACATATCTTTTGCTAAATTTGATTTTAATATAATATACTGTATTTACTACAAACTTTAAAATAAAACATATCTTTTGCTAAATTTGATTTTAATATAATATACTGTATTTAACTTACATGACATAAACAACACTAAAGGACGACAGTGTGTTGATACTACCTGTTTTACCAGTGTTATTACCTATATGTGACATGGACCGCTGTTAAAACATTGTTATTACCTGTATGTGATATGAACAGTGGTTAAAACATTGTGTTATTACCTGTATGTGGTATGGACAGCTGTAATGACTTACCATATGTTATTACCTGTATGCGACTGCAGTAAAACGACAATGCTGAAACTGCTTGTGTGTGACATGGACCTGGACAGCAGTTAAGACTGAGCATATCTTATTACGAGTATGTGACATTGACATCAATAAAGACATTGTGTTATCACCTGTAACATGAATAGCAGTAAAGACAGTTAGATATTACCTGTAAGTTACATGAACAGAAGTACAGACTTTTATATTACCTGTATGTAACATACAGTACTAAAGATAGTTTAACATTACCTGTATGTAACATGGACAGCAGTACATACACTGTATTATCTGTCTATAACATAAGTGAAACTGACAATGTGTTGGGAAGATAGTGAAAGCTTCCTGTTTTAACTTATTCATCCAACCATTCTAAATAGCAGGATTTTTGTCAGAGTAAGGATTTTAAAAATTCCGAAGATAGTGTTAATATAATATTATCATTAAACCACCCCAACAGCATGTATCACAAAATGTCAGAATGATAAACCACCCCTAGCCCTTGATTAACAATAACAGAATACTCTACTTCCTGTTAAACAATATACAAAAATGATAAACCACTTCTAATGCTAAACAAATATTGCTTAGTGACACAAATACTGCTAAACACAAACAAGTTTTATACAGTTAATGGGATGTCATGGTCAGATAATGGAGCATATGGCTGCTAACCCAAAAGTCTCAAGTTCGGATCCCTTGCTTGAGTTATAACAATGTACCCGAGTCCACCCAGCTGTAATGGATACTTGATTCACAATAGCAAAGTAAAGGAGGCTGGGCTTAGTGCTGACCACACTATACCTTCATATGCCAAGGTCACAGGAACATGTGCAACATGAACTACTGGGTTTGAAAGATAACTAACTTTATACACACAAAAATTTACTTTCAGTCACATACGTACATTGCGTATAACCATTGCAAAAGCATAAAAGTGTTTTAAAAACCTTGTGATTGGTTGGAATTGCAAGTCTACTAAATTGTTTTTTAAATTCTGAATTTTAGGCTTCCTAAACTACATTCATCAAAAAGACGTTCACTATTTGTTTATGAAACTTCCTGATTCAACACACTACTTTAATAAAAATGTTAATTAAAATTTTGAAAACTTTCTGTGAAAGCATCAAAAGAATAAAGTTCCATAGTTAGATTTTTTCCTACAGCTTAAGTAGTCGGAACTGAAGTCAATTTTGAAATGTTGTACCTTACAAATAGCTTACACACACTATAATAGTTGTCTTTGTCAATATCTAGGGACATACATTTTCTGTATTAAGATAAAAAAAATTTAGAAACCAAATTCTTACCTGAAAGTGCCTAAATTTGTTGTGAAAAAGCATGGTTATATTCTCATTTCCACCAAAAATTTAAATAAGGAAATTCTTACCTGAAACCCACTTTTAATTTGTTGTGAGAAACATGATTAAGCTTCCTGTCCTCAACGTTAATGTTTTTAAGAGATCAGTTGTGTATCAGCCAAAATTTGTATTTTTTATGAGCCTGTTGTCAGTTGTCAGACTTAATCAATCAGACATTTTTAACGCTTCCTTTTGTTTGTAAATTCTGAGATCATAAAATAACTTTGTTGACTGTTTTTTTAAGTTTTCTGTACCCAAAGTTTGATCACCATAATCCCTAAAAGCATCACATAGTTTTTGTATGTTGTGTAGGTAAAATTAGTAAAAAGTTCCCTTTTTCAAACCTAACGGTCTATAGGGCAAGTGTAGTTCACTTGTTTCTGTGACCTCAGCATATGAAGAGATAGTGTGATCAGCACTTTGCCCAGCTGCCTTTACTTTCCCTAACGCGAGTTACGTACCCACCAGAGATGGGTGGACTCTTGGACGTTTTACCAGACTGAACCTGGATTCGAACTCGAGACTTACGGATTAGCAGTCCAGCTCTCTACCACTAGACCACTCCATCCCATAATATTAGTAATATCTGTGCTTAATGAGCTAAATGTTATTTCCTAAGGTTTTCTTTACACAAAATTGATCACCATAATGCTCTAAAGCTTCATATAGTTGTATGTTTTGCTGGTATTATCCAAGATTAATGAACCAAATGTTGTAAGCCTTTCCTCAGGTTTTCTTAACAAAAAAATTGACCATCATAATCCCCCAATGCTTTACATAGTTTGAGTATGTTTTGTAGGTAAAATCTGAGATTAATGAACCAAATGTTGCAACCCTTTCCTCAGGTTTTCTTAACAAAAAAAATTGACCATCATAATCCCCCAATGCTTTACATAGTTTGAGTATGTTTTGTAGGTAATATCTCAGATTAATGAACCAAATGTTGTAGCTCTTTCCTCAGGTTTTCTTCACAAAAAGTTGATACTATAATCTATAAAGCTTCACATATGTTTTCTAGATATTCTCTGAAATTAATGAACAAAATGTAATCATTTCCTCGGGTCTTCTTTACAAAAATTGATCCCCATAATCCCTCAAAGCTTTAAATTGGTTTAGTATGTGTAGAAGGGAATATTCAAGATTAATAATCAATAAACCAAATGTTTTAACTTTTTTCTCAGGTTTACTTTACACAAAGTCTGCATGAAAAAGTTAAGACAAAATGCCTGGAGCATCTAAAAATAAATGTGGCGGAGTACCAGAATGTAAGTTTTTTTTTAATACAAATTATCTATAAATCTGTTTAGTTTGACAAATGATGCTCGTTGTTATAAAAAATTGTAATGCCTTTAAAAATTGCTCATTGTTACAAAAATTGTAATGCCTTTAAAAATATATTTTTCCATAGAAGTTACAGTGAAATTGTTATTAATTTTGTTTAAAAAAGTTTACCATGTAAAACAAATCTATAATAAAAATGGTGTGATCATTTAGTTTAAAAATCCATAAAAAAAATTATAACATTTTAAACAAAATTTTGCTTATTTTTTTAAACTCTAGGATGCAATAAAAATCAATTACAATATTTTGTTTTCTTTATAAGTTTACTGGAGAATGTCTTCAAGAAAGGATAACCTATTTACAACAAAATAAAGTGAGTTGTAGAACCTGCACACTGTTGTCAGATTTTTATATTAATTAATTCCTTAAAAGTTTCTATATAATTCTTAGTTCATTACAAATTGACTTTGAAAATAGTATTGTGGCAATCTTTAATTAAAATTTAATTTAAAAAAATAATTAACAATGTTAGCAAATACTATAGCAATTTACTTTGTTCAATTTAACCTCCTTTTATTTAACAGAATTTTTTATTTTGTTAAAACTGAATTGCAGGTCTAGTATATTTTTTGTGACTACCACAATATTCAATAAATTAAAGTAACTTTCAGTTTTGTTTTTCCCCTGAAGAGATTTAGTTATGTCCCCTTTTTTTATATAAATAATTTATCATTTTTAAATCATGTACTCCACAGGCCAATGCTGGTCATCTAGAAATGTTAGCCATGTCTGATATCTACAGGTAAGACACCAGATTTGGTTTTCTCTTTATGACTTCTTTATCAGTGGGAAACATTAATAACGCTTCTATTTTAGCATCGCTATATTGAGCCAATCTATAACACATAAATTATAAAATTATTTGCTGTAAAAAAATCTCAGCCGTTTTACACCTAAAATTTTGTAGACATCTAAGATGTGTATCGAAGGAATCACTTGAAGATTTTATAACCATTAGTCTTTTTAATTCAAAAAATCATCAGTTATACAGACACCAAAACTGATATTTTATAATTAAATCTGCAAACACTCACACTTTTGAAGTCTAGTCAAGCTGATCTTAAATCCCTGTTCAAACAACCTGTCAACAATAACTTTCCTTTAAAGCCCCCTTTTGACATTAAACTTGTAAATTTTTTTAGTTTAATTTTTAAATGAAAGTTTTTGATGTTACAGAATGGAGTTTGTCTTTCTGTCTGCACCATCGCTCAACACATTTTCTGTCAGCAAAAATAAGTTTGAGAAAAAGGTTAGTTCACTGCCTTGCTAGCTAAGACTACTACCAAAGCATGTTTTTAGTTTCAAGAAAACTATGTGTACATTTAGATAATAAATAAAAGTGTGTGTGGATGGTATGTGTGTGGGCATATTTAAGAAAGTAATAAATGTTTTTAAATTGCATAATTTTCCATAGTCGCTATTTTAAGATATTTTTAACACCATAGTTGTAGTCTCAGAAAATTACATTTGTCAAAGTTAAATTGTTCTAAACTAATTTTTAAAAATCGGAATATTACACAAAATGATACCCCATAATCAAATGCATTACATACATAACAAATACAAGAACAACACAAATATCCACAAACAATAGCTTGCAGTACAACCAAATATATCACAAAAACATCACAAACAACTATTACAAATACATCGCAAGTACATGCCAATCATTATATCAGAGATAAAAGTGCTAAACATGTTACGTACGTCATAAGGTATGTTACAAACAAGTGCGTCACAGACTAAATACGTCACTAAACACTTCACCTCAACATAGACACAAGCTCCTAACAGCCAAGCATTTATCTGAAACGGCCTTGACCCCAAAAACCTCCCCCCCCCCCCCCCAACCGGTCAGTCAAATGCTATCAGTGTGTCAATAGAAAGTTTTAGAGATGTACTTTTGAGATGAGCCTCTCCTCTCTCCTCTCCACCAATCAGATCATCCTGTGTGAGATAGGTGACCACTATGACCTCGTCTACACGAAGGACCACATGCAATCATCAGCTGTCTGCCAATGTAAGTTCATCACACCCCTAATTTTATCTTGCTCTGTCCTCGTACATCTCTGAGCAAATGTCTATAAATTCAGTAGATAAACCAACCAATGATATCATTAGGATAATCTCTAAACAAAAGTGTATGCTAATTTAATAGATAAGCTGACTAGTGACATCATCACAATCTCTAAGAAAATCTCTTAAAACTTGTGCTTATTTCCCTTGCTGGCTGATTAAATATTTATTAGAATCTTTAGCATATTAGAATCTTTAGCATACTGTTTCAATCCTTTAGGTGAGTATTTAATTTTTAATTTATTTGTAGTAGACCACAGAGAAAACTATTTATTGCTAAAGATTATCTATTTTTATTTTGCTGTAGGTCTTTAGCTTTGATTATATTTTGATGACACTATATTTATTTCACACACACGTTATTTTAATTTAACTGATTATCTCACAAAACTAGACTATATTTAAAATAAATTAGTTCTTTATGATTGCTGCACTGTATCTCACTAATTCGCTACTATGGTAATCAATTCTAATTAAACTTTTAAACTCGCTCTCAAGAGTTGTATCTTATGATATACAATTGCAGTAAATTTAATATTTAGTCATTTTAAGAAAAGCTAAAGTACTGTTTTGATTTTAGATTCAATGACAGGGGTAAACTGACTGCAGAGCTAAATAGAGCTTGTTAACTCTTTACAAAATTTGTCTTTATTTTAAAATAGCACAAATAGAAAATTTAACTGTTAGTGGTGGAATTATTTAAGTGGTAAGAACAAAATTAAAATAAAAAAGTAAATTTGTCAGCTTTTAATATAATTAATATTAAAAATATATATTTTTAAAAATGTGCAATTGTTAGCATAGTAAATTCACCAATAACATTTAACTAATGCAATCAGGTAGAAAAAATAGATAACAACTGTTTAAATTGTACTTGGCATATGCAAGAGTTGGGTTATAGTTCTCATTCCTAATGATTTATTAATTCACCTCCTAATTTATTTCGTTTGTGTAAAAAATAACAAAATAATTACCATTGAATGAAATTACATGAATGTGGATAAATTGGGTATTTTTCCTTAAAATATTTCTAATAGTCGGGTTTTTGTTTATCACAGCTTGTGAACTGCCCAGAACAGGACATTATTTTTTAGTAAATTGGCTAGATTCTAGGCTTGGAGCTGAATTCCAATACATTAATACATTTATTGTTTCACCTGACTTAATGAAATAAATATTAAAATTCTAAAATCTTTTAGTGTAAACTTGGGGAGAATGTGGTTGCGTTGTAAAATTCAAAATTTTTATTCTTATGATCTTTCATTTAAAAAAATTATTTTAAAAAACTACCTTATGTATTTAGGGGTTTGCTTGACCCATGGTCAAAGCCAGTAAATGAAAAAGGACTAACACCATGGTCAAAACAAAGGAATCTGGATACCTTTTTTATTAACTTCATTTTAGGGAAGATAACTCATGAAGGAAGATAACTTCATTACAATTTTTTCAGTTGTCTATCTTTAGCTATTGTTGATGATGCATCAGCTGTTCTTACCATTATGTGGTGTTCTCTCATTTAGTCATTGTGTTTCTGTACATGTAAGCTTTCTGCATTTGTTTCGGTTTAACCTTTCTGTCATCATTTAAATATTTCTGTCATATTTAAAATTTTATCTTTCCTATACATATTGTTGTAAAATACTTATTTAACCATATTTGTATAATTCTCTCTGTCATAATATTTGTATTTTTAACTCCCATATATATGTTATATCTTTCCTGTATGTTAAATCTTTCAGTCATCATTATGTATATTATATCTTTTTAAATATTTCAACAGCCATATGTGTGTACGTTTAATCTTCTCTTCATGTTATATCTTTCAGCCACCATGTATGTGTAATTTTTTTCCTGTATGTTAAATCTTTTCTGTAAATTGAATCTTACAGCCATTATATATGTTTATGTTACATCTTTCCTGTTTGTTGTATCTTTCAGCCACCATATATGTATATGTTGTATCTTTCAGCCACCATATATGTATATGTTGTATCTTTCAGCCACCTTATATGTATATGTTTATCTTTCAGCCACCATATATGTATATGTTATTTCTTTCAGCCACCATGTATGTGTACGTTATATCTTTCAACCACCATATATGTGTATGTTATATCTTTCAGCCACCATATATGTGTACGTTATATCTTTCAGCCACCATATATATGTGTTATTTCCTTCAACCACCTTATATGTATATGTTATTTCCTTCAGTCACCATATATGTGTATGTTATATCTTTCAGCCACCATATATGTGTACGTTATATCTTTCAGCCACCATATATGTGTACGTTATATCTTTCAGCAATTGTGTATGACATCCTCTATAGAGGCGTGTTTGGTCTAAAAACAGAATTGGAAGAAGCTGTGCTGTTCCTGGAGCTACAGAAACTCCCAAAGGAAAGCAACATCTCAAAGTAAGTTTGATTCTCTTCTTTTCTCCTGGTGTGAATCTTTTGAGACCAAAAACAATTAATATAAGTATTCTTTTAAGACTTTGATCTCTCCGTGACTAATAGCATTCTAATTATTTTAGAACTCCCCATATTTAAAAGCCCTCACTTCTATTTTAAGCCCTAAAATTGTTATATTTTATTTTTTGGTGGCATAATTTGTTGGGGAAAAAATCCATGGTTTAGATACATTGTTTTATTTTAGTGAATGTTATTTTAAAGTCTATCTTTTATTTTGAGTATTGTTTTTTCTATCTGTCATGTATTTTGTCTCCATCCTGCCTGTATCTGTCACTATCTGTCCTGTGTTTTTGAAGCATCTATGTGTATTAAATCATCATTCCTGTGTTTGTCACTATCGCCTAAATTTGATCACCATCTGTCCTGTAGTTTTTACCATCTGTCATGTGTTTTTTCACCATCCACCTGTACTGGTCACCATCAACCTGTATTTGATCACCATACACCTGTATTTGATCACCATCTACCTGTATTAGGTCACTATACACCTGTATTAGATCACCATACACCTGTATTAGATCTCCATCTACCTGTATTAGATCACCATACACCTGTATTAGATCACCATACACCTGTATTAGATCACCATCCACCTGTATTAGATCACCATACACCTGTATTAGATCACCATCTACCTGTATTAGATCTCCATCTACCTGTATTAGGTCACCATCCACCTGTATTTGGTCACCATCTTTCCTGTTTTTTACCATCTGTCCTGTGCTTTACTGTAGGTAAACATTCCTGATCTATGGTACACTAATACCCTTTTTCTCCTCCCAAAGCCTTCTATTATTAAACTGAGAAAATGTGTATAGATTTAGCTCCATTCTTTAAACATTAAGTCCATAAAGTTTTTACTTGCTGCAGTTTCAACATCAACAGATGGCATACTCTTTCCCCTTCTACCCACCCCCTTCTCCTTAAACAAATGTTGCATAACGGAATATTTGAGTTCATATGAACTCTGATTTAAGCCATAATTTAAACATTTTTCTCATGTTTCATCATAATCTCTAGCTGTCAATCTAGCTTGTTGGATTAAGGTTTTGTATAAAAAAAAATCCATCTTGAGGTCTATAACCTTTCCTCCTTGGCCTATTCATCCCATTTAAGCTAAACAACTTGTTAATGTTTAACCAGACTACTTAACCCATGCCACCCCACCTTATCCCATACCACCCCACCTTATCCCATACCACCCCACCTTATCCCATACCACCCCACCTTATCCCATACCACCCCACCTTATCCCATACCACCCCACCTTATCCCATACCACCCCACCTTATCCCATACCATCTCACCTTAACCCAAACCACTATTCCATACCCTTGAGCCTATCCATCCTGCCTTAATTTTAACCATCCCACATTCGACATAACCATCCCACTACGAAGTAGTCGACCAACCTACAACATTGTTTTTCTTAAATCTTAAAGAAAAAGACCTATTTACCTGCACTTAGAGGTCTCTGAAACTGGTGGACTCTACTTCACTATTCCCTTGGACCGTAATGTTCGAATGGGTAGTTTACTTACATACAGTCTAGTGTGGCGGCTATTTATATAAAAGCAATGACAGAGATTTTTTTTCTAATACTGCCTTTGTTGGCACGAGTCAACAATCCGTGACCGAACCATTGTTCGAGGGATAGGTGGACTAGCCCAAGCTAGACATAAACTACGTATATAAAGTTCGTGAATTTATAATCTATCTATATATATAATTCTCTTCTTAAAGACGTTAGAAAACAAGCTGTAAGCGCGCCTTGCAGTCCCCTCTCTACTTCTCTAGGAAGTCAGGTGAGCTGTGTTCACGCTAAATATTTACAATCATAGAGCCGGGTTTAGTGACGGCTATTAGGGGCAGATAATTTATTTTTAAACGATTTTAAGCTAAGAGGAGGCTGCTTTCACGGGGGGGGGGGGGGGGAGGGGGAGGGGGGGGTGTCGTCCTTAACGACTTACTGAAAGTGTTTTAAAGCAAATATTTTCAGTGACAGCAGTGGTACTGTCGAATTCACAAGTTATGAACTACTGAAAAGTAGAAAATAAAACAACTATATAGCGGCGTATGATACGCCGCGGGTCGGCTCGTTGTTTATAATAAAGCTTCGGCACCAATTTCACAGTTTGGGTATAGAAATGGACAACTTAAATTTCGACAGCAGCAAGCAACAGTTATCTATTTATGCAAATTTCGGATAACATTAAAAGGTTTCTTCAATATCGATTGGAAAGCTGGGAGGCTCGTGCTGTCCACGTGTTGACCTCGTAAATCATGCTAAGACAAATCTGTTCCATTTAACAGCCTGACTGTCGTCACATGTTGTGTCAGCTGGTGGGGAAGTTGGGAAAGGGGGGGGGGGATGACTGTGATGCCAACTGGGATGGGGCTTATTTTTTTTATTTTGCCCTCATTTTATTTGTAACATTGAATATGTGGGTGCGGTTTTTGTATTGGTTTTTTTTTTAAAGCTGCTCACTATTAACGGTATATCTAGTTTCGAATAGATACTTGAAGCCTAAGCTAGATCCATACGCAGGTTGTAACCTAATCAAGATAGGATTTGATTATGAGGGGTGGAGTTATGTAACGATAGCTGAGATCCCCGACAAGATTCTATATGTGAGATATCGGATGGCTAATTCCAGAAGTTCAGATACAGGGTAATCAGTTTAAATAAACGTTTCTATAGTATTTGATAACGGGCAGAAGATATGGCCTGTTTGCGGGGGGACACTGGCCCATCTAGGAGAGAAAACTCCAAAATAAAACAACTGGTGCCTTGTAGATTGTTCTTTAGTGGACAAATGCCATGTAATCAAATCCATATAGAATAAAATACTTAAAAAAAACTTTTTAAAAAACCACGTTTTTCTTGTGGACTAAAAAGTAGAAAATAACTATTTACATACATTTGATGACAAAAAACGTGGGTACGTTCACCATCAAATTTCCCGACCCATCTGCCCGACCCACGTTTTTTGTCATCAAATGTATGTAAATAGTTATTTTCTACTTTTTAGTCCACAAGAAAAACGTGGTTTTTTAAAAAGTTTTTTTTAAGTATTTTATTTTCTCCTTTTTAGTCCGTTGCTACACATGAAAAACGTGGTTTTTAAAAAAGTTTTTTATATAGTTTATTTTCTACTTTATCTAATGACTTGATTAAGTATGAATTGACTAAGTGTTTATAAATACACGGACTAAAAAAATCTTGAGCGACCAGGATTCGAACCTGGGTTGTCGCGGCCACAACGCGAAGTACTAACCACTATACGATCACGGCCAGCGCGCTCACATCGATTGGGGCCGAAGTAACTGTGTCAACAAGCCTCCAGTCTTGTCGGTATCTTTAGAAATCATGTCCTCAATTTTATGGTCCTTTGGGCGTAATTAAATTAAGCTAATTACGGTCTCTAATTGCTAGTTTTTATGATTGCATCTGAAATTGTTAGGCGAAAGTAACCTGCATGCCAAATTTCAGATCTATAGAGCAATCAGAAGTGGGCTAATTTTCGATGTCAATTTTAACAACAAACACATCCACGCGAAGCTGAGTTAATAAAAACGTGTTAAAAAGAAAAACTGGATGAAATCGGATTCGACGGGCCATCTATAGCACATATTTTGGCAAGTGATACTTGTAACGAAGGTGATCCCCTTCAATATTACAAATTAAGAACGAAGACGATGATGATAATTGTTGAGATAACCTGAGGATAACATATCAAACCGCTTGTGTGACTGTTTCGAACACAATCTAAATTAAGTACTCTGATAATTTTTCTAACCAATGTTTTTACCGCTTAAAGCAAGCTGCCCCCCCCCCCCCCCTTCTCAACCCACCCTTCCAAAAATAAATATGCAACATTCTTTTCGACAACACATTGTACTCTAGACGCCATCACCCAAACAAATGTATTTCTATCATAATTCAAATCTACAGTAAGGTAAAAGCTGATTTAAGATAAAAAATAATCTGACTGGTAGTTTCTGCACATTGCGGACAGACTTTTCCACAGACTTTTCGCACTTACTTCTAGTTTCTAGTTTCCATTTCCCACATAGAAAATTATTGTTTCCAAAAGTCGCCAGGCAGATAATGATTGGTTGATATTCTCCCCAGCTGTTCACTGTCTGACGTCATCACGCTGTTTGGCCGGGATAAAGTCGATACACTGCAGGTAAGACGAGATTTTTTTTAATAGTCTTGTTTATTGTGTTGCGGTACAGCCCTCGACAGTTTGCTCAGCTGTGTGTGCGTGTACAATACACGAGTATAGATCGCCCCAAACATGTCTAATGTTATTTTATTGTTTTCTTGTTCAATCTTTTCTTTAAATGGGATTTATACTTTTTTATCTACATTGTTTTTTAATCTAATATTTGCTTTAAACGCGATTTACTAAATAATTTCTAATCATTAAAATGAGTGTGATATTAATTTATTACATGACAACAAATAACTGTAGAGAGTGACTTTAAAATGGAAGCTGCTTGTATTATATATTATGTGTGCTATTATACACGTATACACACTGATATTTGTGCGTCAAAGCGTATATATATATATATATATATATATATATATATATATATATATATATATATATATATATATATATATATTATATATATATATATATATTCCTTTTAAATTAAATTAGTGTTTTTTCTTATTATAGTTTTAAAACATTTTTCTGTAAGATAACCATAATTTTAACCTATGACCTACCTTATTTACGTATCTAATTTGGGGTTGTCTACTTGACAAAGGTCAATTTTGGGGAAGCCATAGGTTTATTTTTAGAACTGTGCCGTGCATTATTTGATTTGTGTGTGTTCTGTTTGAATCTCTTGTGTGTATTTATGTTTATTCTACCGTGTATATTTAACACGTGTGTAGGCTGATTCTTCTGTGTGTATAGATTTTTTTTTCTGTTTGTGTTTTATTTGCATATGTAAAGCTTTTTGTCATGTTCTAATACATAATCGACGCCCTTGTGACCTTGTCACCCACTAGGAAATGCTGGCGCCCCTTGTGAATACGCCCCCTTTACATGCGGCCACCCTTTGGAAAAAATTTTACTCTCACTGCCGCAGGGCGCCGCCCCGAGACACCCCCCCCCCCCCCCCCCGGTATCACTTGGATAAACCAACTAGTTCTGTATTACATGTATATCATTAACGCTTTGTAAATTTCTAAACCAAACCCCGACCCTAACCCCTGAACCTAAACCTTACACGCTTCATGGCTCTATAGAAGCCACGTTTACGAGTTATTAAACGTGAGCCGGCTGTGTAAAAAACGTGTTGCCTTACTTATACTGATTTTAATTGTTTCGGATTAATTAAATAACCGGAATCGGATTTCTTTTTTAAAGCAGTATTAAACGGACCTGGCGGAGACGTGAGGGGTGGGGGGGGGGGGGGTAGAGGCCGTAGAGAGGGGGGAGCGAGGGGGACGGACCGCACCGGGTGACACCATTTAGGGGGTGACACCAAGGCAATAAAATAGCAAAATATATAGAGAAAAACTTGAGGGGGGGGGGGGGGGTGCAAATCGAAAGTTTGAGGGGGCGGGGGTGCAAATCGAAAATTTGAAAATTTGTCCCCGGGAAGGTTTACTACGCCTCCGGGGGTGACACCATTAAGTGCCGCACCGGGTGGACACCCGACCTCTCTACGCCACTGGGTGGCGTATTAAAAAGTAGTAATTTAGCTACAAAAACATTAGGACGTTACTTGCAGGGGTTATTAATATGAAAATTCTCGTTGCGGTTACTCGAGACTAATTATACATGTTGGCGTACATTGATTGTATCTTTACTACGTCCTGTCATTAATGAATTTAGAAAAACAGTGTGTAAGGTTGTATTTGTAAGTTGTGTTTCAAACCTATTTCTTGGTACCAGTTCGCTGGAATTATTAAACTAAAGTTAAGCGTTCTCTCGTAAACAAAGCGGCACAACTCTGCCATGCTGGCAGAAGGGGGATAATAAATCACGCAGACCGCTATAATTAAATACCAATGACAGTAGACAATGATCCTCCCACGAAACAACAGCCGAGGGCTAAATATTGATTTCCCCACGTGTCTCGTTGTTTTTTTTTTTTAAACAAATGTTTTAGTATTATCTGATAGGCCGGTTAGAGATTAACAGAAGATAGTTAAGGAATTTTATTTTTTTATTTTATCTGTTTGTTTAATCTGTGTTTCTACTTCGTGTGTAATTTGAATGAGAAATGGATACCTCTATCCCGGGCCCAGTCAAATTTGCTGACTCTTTTATTTTCGCTTCTTTCCCTTTGCACTATTAAAATCGTTATACATACATACATACATACATACATACATACATACATACATACATACATACATACATACATACATACATACATACATACATACATACATACATACATACATACATACATACATACATACATACATACATACATACATACATACATACATACATACATACATACATACATACATACATACATACATACATACATACATACATACATACATACATACATACATACATACATACATACATACATGCCTGCACGCACGCTCGCACACACACACACATCCATACTTACATACATATACGTACCATTTTCGCATGCTAGCATTAAAAATTATGTGTTAACAGTGCTCTATAACAAAATAAATCATACGTGTTCTCGCATGATATCATACTTTATAATTTACCGAGCCTAGCGGGCATTAGGTGAGTACCTTCGTTAAACCGTGTGTGCTAAACAAGTTTCATACTCCGTGACTTGCTTGTTTACTAGCTTCATATAGTATTCCGATAAAGATGCTTATGCCTACCTAAATCCTAAATTTAACACGAGTTTACACTATTGCTAATTTAATCTGTATGCATCAGCCCAGTTGAGTCATACGGTCAAGCCTCGCCCGGTGCGGTAACAAAGGATGTCATAACACCCCCCTGCAAATAATTTGGCATTATGGGTTTGATGCCACCCCCTCCCCTTTGCTACTTTATTATTTTAACTGGATGAAACATCGTGTTAACTGAAAATTACGATTTTTATATTTGGTGTCACCCGGTGCAAACCGCACCCATACCCCGCTGGTGATCCTACCGGGTCCACACACAACACTTTCAATTTTATAAAAACAGAATTCATCATTAAAAAAAAAACATAACCTATACAGACGTTTAAAAGCGTAGCAGCATTTCCTGTACAAACATTAGATCACCAGCCGATACAAATATGTACAGTATATTTATATCTTCTTGTCGTGTTCTGTTTCTAATTTGCCGCCCTTGTGAACCTGGCACCATAATGGCACGCTGGCGGCTGGTGCCCTTGTGAAATAGACCTCACCTATAGTTTTAATGAGTATCTTCCCTTTATAAAACACCATAGCCTAGCAATCTTTAATGATAAATTATGTGTGTATACGTAGTTGGGTGGATCGAATAATTTATGGGTGGATCATTTTGTTTAGTATTCGTTTATCCGGGGGGGGGGGGGGGGGCGGACACTGGTAAAAGTATGTTTTCTATATAAATTCCATTTCGTTCGAAGAGATGCCTGTAAGAAACTCTGTTTATACGATTGTGCTTTTAGAAATACTAAGTACAAATTTATGAATCAAACGTTTGAAATAGAAGAAACACAACTAATGTTAGCTTTTAAATGTACTGTCCCTAAGTGAGCCGTCTATACATATTTTTATATACACGCATTTATCTTGTTACCGGACGATCTGCTCGTGCAGGGGTGCGCATGCGGCATTCGGTAGAGCAGAGCAACTACACACGCCTATACTAATAGCCCGACTCGTTTTGGAAAATTACAATGGCATAATTTCAAGTTGGGCCTATGAATGGTTTGGAGTGACGTCAGCAGCACGTTCTAATGTTGTCGTTGTTTGCCCACGATACGTGCTGATTAGTGGGGCTTTTATTTGAGAAGCTGTGACCGAGCGAACTGTCGAGTGTTGGTTTACCGGCGACCGTTCTCGATAAGCCACAACAAGGGATGGTAATCTGCTTTCAATACTCTTCTGACATGTGTTAATGCTTCGTTGTGCAGGTTTTTTATCTCGTTAGATTGATCTGTATTTTAGGTCGTTCGATTTTCATGTGTTTATTGTATGTTCAGCGTAAATTTTAGAGTTATTGAACTTAAAATTATCAGATTTTGTTTTGTTTTATTCTAGAGGGGGGGGGGGGACTAGGTAGATTATATGACACCTATGTTCACTGAATTTTAGGGCTGGCTTATTTTAAATTTTAAAAAAATGAAATTAGTAAACTCTCGGCTATTAAATGAAGACAATTATTGAACTTCAGATTATCAGATTTTGGTTTGTTTTATTCTAGAAGGTAGGGAGGGAGGGACTAGGTGGATTATATGAAACCTATGTTTACTGAATGTTAGGACTGGCGTATTTTTAAAAAAATGTGATGAGTAAACTCTCGGTTATTAAAGTCAAGCCCTCGATCTGTAGATACCAGTTGTGGATACTCGTGGTTTCACTTCACGCTCGTGTTCTCAGATTTATGTAAATTTTTCCAAAAGTTAAGCTGTCGCAGCTGTTTTTTAAGAGCTGAAATATGTAAATAATGTTATTTCAACATAACCAGGTTTACTTGTTAACTCGCCAAGACAAACCTTTGTGTAGATATCGTGTAGATGTATTGGTGTACAGCCCCGGATCTTTCGTAGTTTACCGGCGTGTGAGGCCCCGAGGTGTAGTGTAACCCGCGTGATTTTGACCTGAGGAGTTGCACATTACATGCACGTGCTTAAAGGGTGATGCTCATCTACTGGCTGACTCAATCGTGTGCTCTTGTTTCACCGTGCTCATGACTAGTTCCGTTATGAGCCATACTTTGACTGTGCGTCCGACTGGTGACATCATGAGCATTACATATTTGACAGCGCGGGCCGACTTGATCTTTTATGAGCACTACT